TCTCACCTACATCGTCCACAAGGGACGACTCGGGAACTCAACTCCTACCTCGGGCAGCTCACCTATCCCCCTATGCCCAGGGGAAAGGTATCAAGCCGTTTGACAGCTGATGCAGGCTGTCAAAACGGCTTTTACGCGGAAACAGGCGGGAGCAGCAAACAGCTGCGTCCAGCGAAGTCGCCTGCCACCGGAAGTCCTCTGAAAATGGAAAGAATTTAACCTTTCTGTTATTATCAATATGTTGAACATGGTGGATTTTTCTTCTTTGTACTTGAGCACCCATCTCTTTTTAGGAATAGAAGTACAAAAGCTTCTACTTCCCACTGCAGGTATTTTTAATGAAACAGTATCCAAATTGTATCTTTATCTCATTTTCTGGTGAGAAGTATGAGGCGCTTATATAATGTTTGTTTTAATTTGGTAAGCTATGGAAATCAGTCATATTTACAAGAAACATAAAATTGGCTTTGCAGAAAGGAAAAAGAAAAGATTGTTTGTATTTCAGACCAGGAATAATACAATTATTACCAGGTACATTTCTTTATACCTTTGAGGTCTTTCCTGACTTTCATGGTGAAAACTAACGTTCATAGTTAGAAAAAATATGAAACGAACCTGTATGTGAAGTCAGAATGCAGGCAAAGGAATATTCTCCAAAGCTCTGGGATGAATACATCTAAAGAGCAACACTCATTTGTTTAGAAAAAGCAAAAAGTTCTAACTTAACCTAAGAGGTAGTCATTTCTTCTGCAGGTATATTTTTTTTTAAAAAGTGAAATTTCAGCATATGATTTTAGACATGCTTCAGAAATTTGTAGGAGCACATCCCATATTAACTGAAGAACAAAAGTGTCTAACTATTCCTCATTATGAAGTCACAATTTCAATGGATAAAATGTTTCCTATACAACTTTTATTTCTTTTAATAGTTTATTCCTGTTCCAGTTTTTCAAAGCAGCATAAAACATCTTTAGAGTAAAATCTTATGCATTCCTGACTGGAAGCAAACTTTATTGATTGCAGTGAAACTTTTCTTTATAAAAGTGTAGAGGTTTTCAGCCTCAAAGTAAAAAAATATGAATAAATATTTTTATTTTAATATAAAGGCCTTTCAGACATATTTAGAGGATAGAGCCATAGCATCCAGATACTGTGAAATACACTGTAGTCTTCTTTCCAAAAAGCATCCAAGAAATTTCTACCAGAAGGTCCACTCAGAACAAGTTTTTATCCCAGTAGCCACACCCATCTCTGTTTCTAAATGAAAGAAGTGTAAACTTGGACATTTTAATTGCAAGCTGACAGAATCTGTTAATCATTCAATAGGAGTCAGTGGTTCCCACATTGCTGTTTGTTTTGGGTTGTGAGGGTATTTTTTTCTACCATCAACAGGATTTCTAGATCATGTATCTTACTGTTTGTTTATGATTTCAGGAATTTCATATTTCAGAAGACTTTAATAAGATGAATTTTGTCAAGACTTATCCAGGTAATGAGACAGTGAAATACCCCTGCACATACGAGTAGCCTTCAATAATTTATATGGAATGTTGACTTAATTTTAATTCACATAGATAATATTATTTTCATAAAATAAGTATTAAGCATATATATATGTGTGTGTGTGTATATATACATGTGTGTGTGTGTGTGTATATATGTGTGTGTGTGTGTGTATGTATGTATATATATGTATGTGTGTATGTGTGTGTGCATGTATATATATATATATATAAAAATAAAAACATTGGTTGAACGATATGAACTATAACTGTAAAACATAAAGACAACTATTGTAACTTTTATAATCCTGTAAAAATTTTTCATAATATCCTAAACATGCATCAGACCAGAACTCATGCAATTCCCTTTATGGCTTCACCTGAAAGGAAATGCATTCCAGAACATTATTTTGTTTCCCGTAGAAGTAGTAGTAGTAATAGTAGTAGTATGTACATGTGTGTATGTGCGTGCACACACATAGAGGAAAACCAAAATATTAGAACAATATGTTGCTCCATTCGTAAGAAACTTAACTGAAATGCCAACACCGTATAAGAGGATCCTGTTTGCAACTAAGCCATAGATAAGAATGTGGCCTTGACATAAGCCTGATATTAAAATAACATGACAGCTTTATAGAAAAAGTATTGGCTTTTCCCAAAACAAGACTTCTATTATTTCAAACTAATTTTATAATGTCTCTCTTTTTCATCATTTATTCTCTTTTATTCTTGGTTTAATTTCACAGTGTGGTGTAATTACAGTTAGGAATATATTTTATTTCTCATCTAGGCTTCTCTTTTGAATTAATGAAGGGTAATGTTTCATTTCCATTTGAAGAAAATGAGTAGTGAGAAAAAAATTAAATGAATGCCTGGAGAATACTAAAGAAAGAGAAACAAACCTAGGCTTGATCATATTCATTCCATTTCATGTATAAATATTTTTGTCTCTGTGTTATAATTTCTTGTCTGTCTGTACAGCTCACCAGAACAGAGTGTCAGCAATCATTTTTTGCTTGGAAGCAGAATGGGTGATTAGCACTGGCCATGATAAATCTGTCAGTTGGATGTGTACCAGAAGTGGAAATATGTTGGGAAGACACTATTTCACTTCCTGGGCATCTTGCCTACAGTATCCTTCAAAGTAGCTGTATCATAGCAGATGTGTAATTTCTTAAAAGTTTGTTTAACCAGTCTTAATATTTCCCACATTTGTATTTTATGCTGCGTTGGTTCTATCAAGAAACTAATCACCTTTAAAAGTTTTTGCTATTACTGTAAATTGTAAAAGCATTATAAAAATGTTACTTGGTGTGTTACCATAAGGAAATGCTGGAATTTGAGACTAATACATTATTTGCCACTTATGTTAAATAGGTGGTAGGTGATACCTTTATCAAATGAATTTGAGGAGAAGAATGCTTTCTATTGATTAGCCAACATTTCTTACTATTTCACATCCATTTTATTTAAAGAAATGGATAGATAAGATCAGAAAATAGTTGTTCCTGATTCTACCGAGTCATCTTTATTTTCCTTTCTCAGCCCTAGCTGCTTTTGCAGAAAAGAGCTGGAGAGAACTGATTTTAGAAGACAAATAAGACTCTTCCTTGAAATGACTGAATAATATAACGTCTAGTCTAGGAAGTTGGAAACCTGTTTGTTGGGTGTTACATACTGGCTGTAGTTATTTTAATGAGTTATTTCAGTTGTATATACATTTATTTGTAACCATAGGTTTAGCAAAATTAGTGTAATAATTGCCTTTTCTCTATGTTATCCCACCTTTTTTTTATATTCCTCCTCCCAGTTTTGTTTTGTTTTTAGAACCTGTGAGCCCTTTGGCATCGCATGAAATAGTTCATAGCCAGACTCTGTTTCAGAATGATGTCAAATGCCTCCAATTCATGGTTACTAATCAGCTGGTTAAGGCAAGTTAAATCTGATGTGCTCCAATATGGACAAATATATATATATACACACACACGCACACGCACACACACATATGTATATGTGCATGTACACACACATACACACACACATTTAACTGAAAATATAAATATAATATATATATAGTATTTTCCACTGTAGTAAAGCAAACAATATTCTCCACATGATAGAATAATGTTGACAAAAAAGGCTGGGCAACAAGCTGACTTAAGTGCATATGTTCTTGGTCTAGCCATGTTATGATCTAACCAATTTTATTTGATTTATTTTGACTCATTGTGTATACCGATCGGCCTCTAATCCCTGTTTGGGGAACAAGAAAGTTTTTAAATTACTTGTTTTTAATAATAGGGTTAATGTGAAAAAATAAATGAGTAAAGAATTTTTATGTAAATGCATATGCTAGGAGATTGCTTTTTCACAGAAGTTTATTAGATTTATTATCTATAAAATGGAAAAAGATGACTGTAGAAGAGATGGTAACAAAATAAAAGTATAGATTTAATTACATAATCAGTAAATGTGGATTTTAGCTGAGAGTAGAGACATTCCTTAGATGTTTTCTTCTGAATCAGGATTTCTCCTCAGTCTCATATGCCCCTACTTAAGCTGGCTGCATCGTCACTTGTATTTCTTCTTTCAGTTCTCGTCACACTGTTTCTGCTGGTATTCCATCTCCTGCATAGCAGAACTACTGTTACCTACAGGGGTGCAATTTGATATTTTTGTCTTTCTCTTTTTTCTGTCTTGTTAAGCTGGACATCTGAAAATAAATTCTATCACTGAAAAATGTGCATGTTTCAGCCCTGTTAACTGACAGTGATTTTTTAGACATCCATAATATTTTATTTACTTTTTTCAAAATAAAAGTAGACTCACTAATTCCGGCTGCATGTTACTAACTACTTTCAGAACAAATTAAAATAGATTACTTTTTATACTCAGTCTTTTGCCTTCTACTGGAACTACTCCTTGAAAACATACTCCTTGACTTGGGATTGTACTAAGATATGACTTTGAAACCCAGCATGCCTTTATTGGAGACTACTCTGGACAGATTACTCTATTGAAGCTAGAACAGAGCACGTGTTCAGTGATCACAACTCTCAAGGGTCATGAAGGTAATTTGTTTTTCAACTGATTGAAGCTCAAATCTTTCTTTTTTATATAAAAGGAAACATTAGATACAACTTGATCCTTAATGTTGGAGTGAGATATCCACTATGTTCTCTCAGTCAAATTATTGTTGCCTCACTTTGAAATTTTGGTTAGGTTAATGGAGGCTGTTTCAAAACTTTTAGTATTTGGCAGCCATAATCCCTACATCCAGTACATTTTTCCAGTATAGGTTTGGATCAACTGTAGCATCAGGTCCGTGACAGTGCATTCTAATATTGAAGAGAAAGATTATCAAAAGATGGATAATGGTGGCCATACTTTCTCCATCTAATAAGTGGCTGGCATAGCTCACACTGATCAAGGCAGTTGCCTCTTTATAACATCAAATGTTCATTCCAAATGGGTTACACATCATTCCAGTACCGTTCAAAACTGCAGTATTTCCTCATAATTATTGAAATTGTTAGTTTGTGTGGGCTGCCATGAGGAAATATAGCTTGATATTTTAATTAAGTATTTATGCTAATTAATGTTATTTGATCATTTAAAAAAATATTTTAAAAGCAGTAAAATAAATCTAACCAAGTCTAAAATGAGTGTTTTATTGAATAACTTCAATAAAATCCTAACATACATAAATATATTGATATTAAAATGTTTTACCTGTTTGCATAAAACAAAGCAATGAATTAGCTGTCTTGTAAATTAGGCATACAATCTTGAATCTTTAAAAAAATTCTTACTAGATTTTATGCACTTGTCTTCCAAGGTAGGCAGTTAATTTTGAATTACAACGAATGTTCTTTTGAATGAAGGCAAATATAGATGTGCCAAGATAATGTATCAGAATCCAATGTGGGTTGGTCACTGGGATCAGAGGTTTAGTCTTCCAACTTTTGGACTCATGCTGGAGCCCATCCTCGGGGAACTTCTCTCTATCATTCTGGTAACTTGTCTCTATCAGAATGCTCCACCATGAGTCCAAAAGCTCAGAAGACTAAACCTCTGGTCCCAGTGACTGACCCAATTGGATCCTGTATGTTCCTTAAATTTTAGAATATGCACTATTTTTAAATACTATTGTGTCTAATGTTTTAATGTGTTTTATGCTATAATATTTTGCCCAGTAATCGTTAAAAGTCTTCAGATACGTTTGTTAAATGTTGAGTAATATTTCAATGACCTTTCACCCATTGGATAACTTATAAATTTGAAACATGGACTTTATTCCTACTTCATACCTCTCAAGATTACTCAAATTAGGTTATTCATTATTATTTTGGCATTTATTTTCTAAAATTCATCTTCGATCTGCTTGTGACTTTAAATGGATTGTATCTTACACAATTATTATTTTTACTTAATTCAACAAATTGGATTTTCCCCATTATTAGCCATTTTCTGATCCTCTTCGACACATTTAGCACGTACTATAATTTTTAGTAGCATTTCAGAAAATTACAAGGCAAATAAACCGAATACTGTTTTAAAACATAGCAAAACTTTGACCTGAAGGTAAATGAGCTTTCTTAGTTCTTACCAAGACTCCATTGTGTCTTGAGCAATCTTTAAAAGCAATCCCATGTTAGCAGTAATGAAGTCTGGATGTAATAAATGTATAAATGATGGAGAGTAGGTCTGAATCCAGTCAAGATCATATCATGATTATCAAACTGAAACAGAACACCCAACCTATTCCTAGTACTGATGTTCTCATACAAATCAAAATCAGCAAGAAATTCAACTAAGAAATTCTTTTAGAAGTAGTATAATCCCTGCCAGAACTGGTTATTTATCGCTTTCCAGCTAGTACTAGTATCTATGTCTGAATTAAATTTTACTTTCCTACAATTGTCTAAATATTTTTTATTAGTTTCTGTGAAAATAGTGGGTAGAAACAAAATCAGATTTATTTATCCCCATACTGATGACACTGTAACTAACCCCGTTGTGTGATTTCATCAGTTGCAAATGGATACTAAAAACTTACACAACCCTGTGAACTTCCATCTTCTTTGAAAAGTTCATTACCATATTCAAACATTGATCCAAAACATCTGATTACTTAGATTATTCATATATAATTAAAAAACATTTTCTCCTTCAAAAACAATTTCCACATAAATTTGTATTCAGTTACCTGTCCATTTTATCTTTGCTAAGATAACTGAGCTCTCTCTTACATTTCCCTACACTTTTTTTTAATGCGGGCTAACCCACTTCGGCCCAATATAAAACAGTTTGTTCCAACTGCAACACACAAATACCTAATTTCCATACATACATACACGGGGGGGGGGGGAATTTGTATTTTGCTTCACTATAAACCTTAATATTATTTTTAATGTTTTGTCAGTGTATTATGCAAATCCAGCCAATTATAGTTTATTTAGGAACTATGTTTGGTGGTGTGGTGGTGCAGTAGTTAGAATGCAGTACTGCAGGCTACTCCTCGCAGTTCGATTCTCACCGGCTCAAGGTTGACTCAGCCTTCCATCCTTCCGAGGTCGGTAAAATGAGGACCCAGATTGTTGGGGGCAATATGCCGACTCTGTAAACTGCTTAGAGAGGGCTGTACAGCACTGTGAAGCGGTATATAAGTCTAAGTGCTATTGCTATGTTTGTCAAGCCATATCTTGGTGTGTATGTGAATCTAGCTTCAGAACATTTACTTATTTTACTTATTTTTCCCTACAGTCAGAAACTTGGGTCTTTCTTTTTTTTTAAAAAAAAAAAAATTTTATTATTTAAACCGACAAACAAAACAAAACATAATACACATATATACACAATATATATTTTAACATCAACTTCATAACAGTAATCTTCTATTATTTACATTTTCCCCCTTATTCTTCTTTAGAGTATTTATCCTTATTGCCCCATTATTTCTTATTTGCATTTTTCTTCCTTCATACATTATTATATACACATTTTCCACGTTTAACCTTTCCATATTTATTCTCTCTTATTTCTACTCTCTAGCCAGTCATATCACTTGCTCCATATTAAATAATATTCTGTGTCTTCTTTTTCTTTTATCTCTTTTGTTAATTTGTCCATTTCAGCACAGTCCAGGATTTTCTTTATCACTTCTTCCTCTGATGGTATATTCTCATTTTTCCAGAACTGTGCGTATGCTATTCTTGCTGCCATTGTTATATGTATAATTAAATACCGTATTTCTTTACTATATTTCCTGTTTAAAATACCCAGCAAAAAGATCTCTGGTTTCCAGTCTACCGGTTGATCTATTAGAAACTTGGGTCTTTCAATTATCACTCTGTAGTGATTTTTTTTAAGTTCTACACTTTAGTGGGATAGCAAAGTTTTCCTTGAAGCTGCAGTTTTAAGATAGCAGGCAACTAGAGCCTTTATGCAATTGTCTATGGAGATTCTCAGTCATCCAGGTAATGGGTATCCCAAAAGTGCTTTTTCAGGATGCAACTGGAGTTTCTTGTTTTTTCTTCGAAGAGGTTCTCATCCAAGATGCTTTTTCTTCGAAGAGGTTCTCATCCAAGATGCTTCTTCAGCTCTGACTGGATCCTTCCATTTCCCACCCTCCAGTCAGAGCTGAAGAAGCTTCTTGGATAAGAAGAGAAACGTCTTCAAAGAAAAAAACAAGGAAGTCCAGTTGCCTCCTGAAAAAGCACCTTTGGGACCTTTATGCAATTGTTCATCCAGAGAAAGAGAAAAAAAAAAAGAAGTTTAATGACATAAAAGATCCTTACAGGGGCTATATGAGCTGGAGTTAAGAAATCATGTAATTCTAAGTAATGTTTGGCTGTATGATTATGGAGATAACCACTCAAAAATTTACAGAACTAAATTTGTGCCAGGAATATTAATATTCTACCAGAAAATGTAAACCAATTTTAAACTGTAATTTTTAATTAAAAAGTTAAATGTCCAAATAAAGCCAAGACTATTCTCCCTTACCTCAGAGTACAGAACACAAAATAATGATTTAAATCACAGGAAGGCAAATTTTGCTTGAATATCAGAAAAATGTATTTATAGTAAGAGCAGTTTGATTTCAGAATCACCTATTAAGTGAAGTGGTGGGATATGTTCAAATGAAGCTAGATAGCATCTGTCTAGGATGCCTTACTTTGGATTCCTGTACTGAATGGGTCCAGTGGCTCAAATAATCTCTTCTAGTTTAATTATCATTTCATTTCATTCTAAATACTTCTTGTGCTTTGAAATATTTAAACACTAGATGTCAGACTTTCAAATGTTGAGTCTCAGCCAGTTTTCATGATAACTGATGTATTAATTAGGTAGTAAGCAGTATCAGCTTTGAATTCATCGAATTTTTACTGTATTATTAAAGCCTAAATAAAGAGATTTGCTAATTTCTGGGACTATTACTTCTTAAGACCATCACATAACACAGGAAGATATTTACAAAGGATTCAGAAAATCTTTTGGCATTCTTAAAATGATTTCTTCCCCATCTCTCCTTTAACATCCTTTCTATTGTTTTCTTTTATTCATCTATTGCTAATCATCTTTATCAGATTTTTATTGCCATGTAGTGGCATTACCTTGTTAGGGCAGTTAACTCTTTCTGCTCAGATAGGATGAGCCATACTTAGCACAAATGGGTTGCAGAAGATTCGACGAGGCAATCTACCAGTAAAATGCCATTCAGATACACCTTTTGTTGCCAAATGTTGAGACACAATTATCCCATACTGTGTTGCTGATTACCTGTTTTTCCTCTTAAGGAATACACAGTACTTTATTTATAGTTGCCATGTGCATTTTTATCCATTTCAGTTACATTGAGGAAAAAATTATTTGATCCCCTGCTGATTTTGTACGTTTGCCCACTAACAAAAAAATGATCGGTCTATAATTTTAATGGTAGGTTTATTTAACAGTGAAAGACAGAATAACAACAACAAAAATCCAGAAAAACACATTTTAAAAAAGTTATAAATTGATTTGCATTTTAATTAGTGAAATAAGTATTTGATCCCCTATCAATCAGCAAGATTTCTGGCTCCCAGATATCTTTTATACAGGTAACGAACTGAGATTAGGAGCACTCTCTTAAAGGGAGTGCTCCTAATCTCAGTTTGTTACCTGTATAAAAGACATCTGTCCACAGAAGCAATCAATCAATCAGATTCCAAACTCTCCACCATGGCCAAGACCAAAGAGCTGTCCAAGGATGTCAAGGACAAGATTGTAGACCTACACAAGGCTGGAATGGGCTACAAGATTATCGCCAAGCAGCTTGGTGAGAAGGTAACAACGGTGCAATTATTTACAAATGTAAATGTAAATGCTCAAGAAAGCCCATGTACAGGCCCATCTGAAGTTTGCCAATGAACATCTGAATGATTAAGAGGAGAACTGGGTGAAAGTGTTGTGGTCAGATGAGACCAAAATCGAGCTCTTTGGCATCAACTCAACTCGCCATGTTTGGAGGAGGAGGAATGTTGCCTGTGACCCTAAGAATACCATCCCCACCATCAAATATGGAGGTGGAAACTTTATGCTTTGGGGGTGTTTTTCTGCTAAGGGGGCAGGACAACTTCACCACATCAAAGGGACAATGGACAGAGCCATGTACCATCAAATCTTGGTTGAGAACCTCTTTCCCTCAGCCAGGGCATTGAAAATGGGTTGTGGATGGGTATTCCAGAATGGCAATGACCTAAAATACATAGCCAAGGCAACAAAGGAGTGGCTCAAGAAGAAGCACATTAAGGTCCTGGAGTGACCTAGCCAGTCTCCAGACCTTAATCCCATAGAAAATCTGTGGAAGGAGCTGAAGGTTTGAGCTGCCAAATGTCAGCTTTGAAACCTTAATGACTTGGAGAGGATCTGCAAAGAGGAGTGGGACAAAATCCCTCCTGAAATGTGTGCAAACTTGGTGGCCAACTATAAGAAACATTGATCTCTGTGATTGCCAACAAGGGTTTTGCCACCAAGTACTAAGTCGTGTTATTTCACTCATTAAAATCAAATCAATTTATAACTTTTTTGAAATGCATTTTTCTGGATTTTTTTGTTATTCTGTCTTTCACTGTTAAAATAAACCTACCATTAAAATAACAGACTGGTCATTTCTTTGTCAGTGGGCAAATCAGCAGACGATCAAATAATTTTTTCCCTCACTGTAAACCTGGGATGTGTAAACCAGGATCATATATAACTTTCAAAATTCCTGGTACTACTGGCTATATGTTTTGAGGTGAGAGTCATGTGGAATTCTAATATAAGCACTAATATAGATTTGACTTTATTTAGAAAATGTAAATGTACCCTTAACTTAAGAAATCCCCTCCCCAGTTTTTGAGTTTTCCCACATATGTCACAATCTTTTAAAAATGTTTTTATAGATGAATATAGTTTTATTTGGCTTATAGAGACCTAGTTTGCTTAAAATATATTCATTTAAAACTATCCATCCTATCTATCTATCTATCTATCTATCTATCTATCTATCTATCTATCTATCTATCTATCTATCTATCTATCATCTATCTATCTATCATCTTATACCTTGCTTTTTTCCATGAGGCATAAGGTAGTTTATGTGGGTCTCCAGTTGTTAATGTTCATAACAATTATGTAGGGTAGATTACAGCAAATTTAAATAACTTCTGAATGATTTAATTAACACTAAGGATTTTAAAGTTGAGTTTTCTTTATCTTAATTTGGCTCTTTAACCAACATAGCACTCACTTCACTGTCTAACATTCTTCAGTTTATTAAAAAAGATAGGGGAAGGAATGAAGCTTTGATAAGGTAAGCATTGATCTTGCATATGAAGGTACGCTTCAACTTCCACCATCATCAATACCTTGTTTCAATTGAAACGGATTGAGATAAATTGTAGCTTTGAGAGGTCTCCTCTTGTATTTTAGTTGATTTTAAGATATTGTTAGGAAGTAAACAATTTTTCCCATGACATTTAATTTGTAATTCAAAGATGCTAAAATAGTTTAAGTTTAGCAGCTGAAGAAGATTGAGATCTCTGTTTTCTGTGAAGACTTCATTTAAAAAATGTCCCAAGGTAAAAACACAATTTCAACATAGACTTTTTTTAATCAGGAGGGGTGGGGAATCTCCACTTTGTTGTACAATTCGGCAAATGCTCTATCGTGTTTTCAGCGGTTTCTTTTTCTACAATAAAAATATCCCTTTACAAGAGAGATTGCCATAGGATTTCTGTTTGTACATACTCATCCAGCAAGTGTACATTGTCAACATTTCACCCTTCTCCTTTCCCCACCCTCACCCCATATATATAGGAAGTATTTCTTCTTTGTGGTGGGATCCTGTTCAGCGATTACTTTTCTCTGGAGCATCTGATAATAGCATAATCATGTGGGACATTGGTGGAAGAAGAGGTCGGACCCTGCTTCTTCAAGGTCATCAGTATGTAGCCATTTTGTTTCCTAGCGTGTATTAATGCTGATTAGCTTTTGGTGTTACGTAGGCATGAAGGGTTTTATTTGGTTCTATTTTCTGCCAGCCATAATCAACTAAAATTTTTGTATAGTGTTGTTTCTGAATGTGTATTGCAGTATGTTATTTTGATATTCTTCAAAAGCACATGGAGTTTGGGATAAAGATTTGAAATCTGATGCTTTAGATCTTTCTGTTTGTTTCCTAGTTTTATCCAGCCGTATCTTACACCTTAGTGCAGACACATAGCATGCTGACAGAAAAGCATGAGACACATGCAAATAAATTGCAGTGGTCCAGAAGAATGGATTTCTTCTGCAATTAACAAGGCAGTTGCTGGTAGAAGATACAGAAAACTTGTTCCCCAAGTGTCAATAAAGACTCTTGCTTCATTAGAGTCTTCTATCATTAAGGAACAGTGCAGTGCTAATGACTATCCCCAGGCTCCCCAAAAAGACTAAATTCTTGGAAGTTCTGTTTATGCAAAACCCTTCTTTTACAAAACACATTGTCACTATTTAATAAACACTTCATTCTTGCAAATATAACAGTACTTTAACAAACATTTAAGATATGTAGCCTCTTAATATTTTTTCTCGAGTATGAATAAACAGTGTCTCCACTTAGCAGCAGGAAAAAGAATGATTATCTCTTGTTGAGGAAGGCAAAAAAGATTATTTCTTTGTTGTCTACAATGGACACTGTTTTGCAATGTGGGTTTCCTAGGGGTGACATGGGGTTATTTTGATTCCAAATTGTCATTGTCCTCAGTTCAAAATACTTTATCGAAAATTGTAGAATTTGAGCCAACATCTGCTTTTACTGGATAAGTAAGATAATTTAACAGCTGAAATTTGCACAAAGAGTTACAAAAATATATTCCTCAAAAAGCTATTCTATCCTTTAGTACCTGTTTATAATTAACCCTGGAACATCTGGAAAGATGACAACAATATCTTTTTTAACCTGGCTTTTCCCCAGTGTGCTAGAGACTATACCTTCTATAACTATTGGCCATTCTGACTTGAGCTCCTGGAGTTTATAATTGATATTTTGGGAAGCAATATGTTTGGAAATATGGTTGTACATGTAAAGCTGCGATCTATGTAATATAAAACTGTCATGCAAATTAATAGCAATATTTTTTTTTAAATCCAGGTATATGCAGTTTGATATTTTAAAATGTTCTTAGCAAGCATCCCCCCCAAAATAACCACCCAAGATTTGAATGGTTTCAAGTCAAACATGCAAAATACCAATGTTACATATCTTTATCACCTAGCTGGGTTTTTTTTCTTAACAGTGACAAGGTGCAGGCCCTCTGTTACCTCCATCTCACACGACAACTGATTTCTTGTTCAGCAGATGGAGGGATCACAGTCTGGAATATGGATGTTAGTAGAGAAGAGGTAGGAACAAAAATAAAAGGTTTTTTTATATCGAAAGGACAGATGATCAGCTAATATTCCCTAATTATAGCATTCCTTTATTCTGTTACCTCACAGCTAATCAGTCAAATTTAGCAAATAGCCAGAAAAGTCATACTGCAGTGATATTTTAGAAGTGGGAGTGAGGAAAATGACTCAAGTATGCTCTCCTTTGGAATTGGCGTCACCTTCTTCTAGTTGCCAGATCATTGCCTTTTAAGAAGTTTTTTAATGTTTAAGAAACCTTGTAATGTAAATGTAAAAGATAAAATTGTGATTGTACTGAAATATAACATTGACATATCTCTTAGTGTCTTGAATTTCTAGCATGTAGGTCAAGACATGGGTTGCATGCTGTAAAAAATACAATATACAATCCTGCATACTTGCCATCATCCCATTAATAGAAACATTTGAGAAATGTTGGTATCTGGAAAGAACAACCCTAGCTTTCTATACTAAATAAAATTTTAAACAAGAAAAATATTAAAAGTTGTAGTGCCATCACACTATCTAGGTTAGTCTTCAAGGCCAGAATAGTACTGAAGATGCTGTTTAGTGAGGTCACCATTGTGTTAGTTTATGGTAACCAAAAATCGGAAGGAGCCTTATTTCAGACTAACATATTTTATTCAAAGACATAAGCTATAACTCCCTTAATTAGAAGCACTGTGTATATTTGATGAAATTTGTAACAGCTTGTGGAATATTATGTCTTTGAATAACATTTGTTAGTTAGATTACCAAGCATTCAAAAATGTTTGCTGGCTGCACCTGTCAATTCAGTTGCCCAGCCATTTTTCCATACATAAAAAATGTCTATTGAAAAAATAATTGGTTACGCTATTTTGGAAGAATTTATTTATAAGACAATAAATTATGGAAAATCCTAGTCTTTACATGATTTTCCAAAAGCTCTGTTCGCAGTGAGACCAAGAATGGAAACCAGCCTTTATACGAAAGAATTGACCCAGGCAATTATTAATTGCTTTAAATAACACCGATGGTACTTCAGAATGCGAACAGGTCATATTTAACTTCAAATTATGAGTGAAAATGGAAGGCATAATGGTTTGATTGTAGAAAACCTCAGCTTTTCAGTTACCCAGTACTTTTTCTTAATCATCCACATTGAAAAAACGGAAGCCCTTAACCTCCTACAGGAAGCTAATTGTTGAAGTGTAACAAAAGCATATTTTTCATTGATGTGGTGAAGTGAAAACTGCGTCATACCAAGTTAAGTGTAGGAGGCATCTGAGAGGCAGCTTGAGTGACCTCATCTACACCATTTAAGACTATATTGCTCTAATTAGATCTGAGAGGAAGCAACTTTTATAACATACCCTTGCTTTCAAGGACACTGCTGTAGTAGCCCTTATCTGTGAACTGTAGACTTTTATCTATTTCTAATTGTATCTAAACAAATAAAAAAGGTTACACTTTAATTCCGCTTACATTTTTAAAGCTGGGGAGTGTTTTTTATTTTTTCGGAATGGCATATTTAAGTATGTTTCTGTCATCTTTTTTTTTCCAGGCCCCACAGTGGTTAGAAAGTGATTCCTGTCAGAAATGTGAGCAGCCGTTTTTCTGGAATATAAAGCAGATGTGGGATACAAAGACCCTGGGTCTGAGGCAGGTAAGAAGCTAGCAGTGTTTTATTTATAACAGTATGAAAGCTAAAGAAGTTAATTAGGATGTCTCTTTGAATTAGTTCCTGATTACCATGCACACTTCCTTCTCATCTTCCATGACCTTTCAGCAGCAACATAGCTCTTCTGGATTTTAAGTCAACCTTTTCCCAACCTAGAGTTCACCAGATGTATTGGAAATGTATTTTTCAGAATTCCCAGCAAGTAGGGCTTCATCATGCTAGTGGACGCACTAAAAACTGCACTCCTGAGTGAACTAAATTAGCTAGAATTGTCTTGAAGTCTTTCTTTATGCATCTGAGCACAAAGTAGTGTTCTGCATTAGATTTGTCTAGATCAGGTTATGTGCAAATTAAAATGTTCATTATAATTTTGCTTATTAACTGAGATTTTTATCTGGGACAGATTTAGACTGCTGTCTTTAGGAGATTAACTGGGATAGGCCTACAGAGATAGTAGGCTTCTTTGATGAATGCAATGGTGAACTCATTGGCTGAAAACATGAGAAATTTATTGCTTTCTTCTTAATATTTGGATTAATTTGGAATATATTTCTGATTGCTTCTCATTTTCATTTCCATTATCCAGCATCACTGTAGGAAATGTGGTCAAGCAGTATGTGGCAAATGCAGCACGAAACGCTCCAGCTATCCTATAATGGGCTTTGAATTCCAGGTCCGGGTTTGTGACTCTTGTTTTGAGTCTGTCAAAGATGAAGAGTGAGTACTATAGCTTAGAGGACTCTGACTTACTGCCCTTTAGTTTTAAGTCTGAGATTTGAGGCCAAAATAATATATACAGTATGTGAGATAAGAACTATAGATATCCTTCCTTTCATAAGGTTTTTTTAATTCATTTTCTTTAAAGTTAATGTATGCAGCAAATAAAATTGGTTGCAAAGACTTAGGTTTTAATTTCTGCTAATTCATTTCTAGTAATATATCCAATACTATTATAATGCAACAAAGGAAAAATAGGTTTTCTTAAATTTCTTTCCAAGAACTAATATTTATTTGTAAACATAGTCCTAGAGAAATATCATACACCAAACATACTATAGTAAGAGTCATCTCCATTCACAATGATATCTTATCCAAGGCTGTTTGGAATAACCAGGTTTTAATGGCTTTTTAGACAGTTAATAGGGAGAACACCAGTTATAATAAGGAAATGGTTGGGATACTTTCCCAAAGAATAGAAGATGTAATTGAAAAGTCTTGTTCCCATAGTATCTGTAGATGAAAATCCTTTAGGTTATAACCCATTCTCCCAGTTTTTACTGAACAGGCAGAAACCATTACAAATAGCTGGTCTGAGGTTATCTAAGTCCCAAACCATGTAAGAGCTTATAAATAACAGTTAGCAGCTTGAACTGCTTTCAGTTCGTTAATCAGTTCAAATCCTGTAGAAATATGAAGTGGCTTTTTTTTTCCAAAAAAAGGGAGCTGATCCAATCAGGTCTTAGTTTCTAGGAACAAATCCAAAATTTGACAATATACTAACCCTAATGCAGGGATTATCAGAAACAAAATATGTTTTTTAAAAAGTTATTTCTGTCATTTCTGATTAGCAAAAGGGTAGGATGGGAATTTTATCAAGTTGAGATCATAAAACATTGCATAATTTCTGCTTCACTCAATTACAAATGTTCAATCTTCAACATTATTTTGAAATTATAATATACATAGATATTTTTCAGAATCCCATTAATTCAAGCTTGCTTTAGATAAGCATACATAAATCCAAACTATATTGTTATCTTCATTTTTACAAAGATGTTTTACCATTTAAATGGCTGGTTTGCAGTAGAAGTTCAATCAAAGAAAAAGGTGAAGGAATTCACCTCCATTGAATGCCCTCTTCCTCCCTTCATTTTAGTTTTTTGTTGTAGTCCTTCCAGTAGTTTTAGCGTGCACATACTTGGCACATTTTTTCACAGTGAGTCTTTTAGACTCCAGCCTGAATCAGCTTTCATTGTTTCGGTCTTGCTTTTTATCCTTTCACGCTTTGACATATTTGTATTGATAAGATGGCTAAAACAAACATTCTCCTATATCAGGAGGGAGATATTTTTGATAAGCTCTTTACAAATTATCTGTTAAAACCTCTTGCAAGCTTCTGTTCTTTTTCTGGCAACCCTCTAATGTAGAAGGAAAATAGCAGAGAGAAAGAAATAGGGACAGAGCAGAAAGAAAGAAATGATCAAAGTTCATGGCATCATTGAAACTGCAGGAGGACTCATTATAAATATTAGCTACCAGATTATCATTTGCTAAATAAATAGACAATGAATCAAGAAGCTTGAAGTTTCCATTCATCAGTCAAGATGTACGTGCTATTTACTTTGCCTTGACCCATCCTAGGTATAGTCCCAAATCCTTGAGCCCTTCAATAATTTCTCATGAAATCTATATCTAGTTTATGTTCTAGATATTACTTGCCATTCTTTCATGTTTGCTGTGTGCCTTGCTTCCTGCCTATTAATGTTCAGCCTAGTGATTTGGGTCTAGAGTTTGATTTTTAATTAATTATTAGGCAAAATTATGATTTTGGCCTAGTTTTGTTTTTTAATGTGGGTGCCTTCAAGTTAGTTTTGACTCCTGGCAGCTGTTTGAACATGTCCATGCATTTTTGTAGCAACATTTTCAGAAATGGTTTTCCATTGGCTTCTTATTCTGTACCTCCCTTTTTTTCCCTTCTGTACAATTATGTCCAATTTTCAGAGTCTGCCTGGACAGATCCCTGCAGTTCTCTTGGCAAGGTTTTTCAAAAATGATTTGTCATTGCCTAGGACTGAAATAGCTGGCTTCATACCCAAGGCAGGACTACAACTCCAGTCTCCCAGTTTCTAGCTGATGTCTTGACCACTACACCAAACCGGATTTTGTACTCTACCTAGCATTTGGTATATTTTACTCTGGCACTCAGCCCCCCCCCCCAGAAATAGGGAGGCTGTTTCTTCAGCCGTCAAACTTCTTTTGGTCTGTGTAGCATTTGAACCTTAATTTCCCAAGCTCCAGTTTGAATTCCTGATTGAATAATACTGGTTCCATTTCGCCATCTTTTTTTTTTTTTACTTTTTAGCTATGTTGCTGTTCGCAGTTTGTGGTGGCACAATTAGCTATGATAACATAAATCTTTTTTCACCCCACGTTGCCTCACTGTCATCCCATAAGTAAATAGCCTTAAGATGTCATTAAGTGGTCTGGTTTCCCCCTTGAGCCAATACTGTTCCTTTATATTTTCAAGTCAAAAAAAAATCTGTAATGCTTTGTCACACATTATCTTGGAGGTAAGGTCATCGGACCTGTTAACGAGTATCAGGGGAAGTATGTTATGTGACCGTTGGACATGTATACCCATTTCCCACTAAGTAGCCTTTAGGCAAATATTTCTCTTCCATTGTTAGCTTTGCCAGTTGCAGTTTGTTTCCCGAGCTCCTTCATACCTGTCACCAGTAATTTTCAACATAGCTTATCTCCAAAAAAGGAATGTTTTGCCACTTCCATAGTACTCTGAATTTCATTGTTACCTTTGATTGCAAATATCCTTGCTTTTCCTAATCACACTTTTCAGAAAATAATGAGGGTTGGTTTTGATAGTAATTTTATTAAATTAAATTATAAATACAAATATAAAACTAATATAAACTAAAATAGAATAAAAAATATAAAGTGCAAGAAAATTGAAAAGAAAAAATAAAAATGTAGTAAATAAAAATAAAATACATATATAAAGAAATGACTTCCTCCTTTATCACAGCAAGTATCAACTCATCACCTTTTCATAAAATACAACAAATGATCTTTTTCCCATTCTTCCCAGAAAATAATAAGACTTGTTGAATTAGTATTGTTTTGTACCAACTCATGGATGGATAACAAGATAACTCAGATATAGAAACAGTGCAGTACTGTAGTAGGAAACATCCTGCTTAAATTAAAGGTTAAATCAGCGCTAGGAGGAAAGCATGTTGACTAACCATTTTTTTCTTGTAAAACACGGTATGTTTTCCTGTCTGTGGTTATATATAACCAGTGCTTTTTTTCTAAAAAAAAAAAAAAAAAAAGGTGCCAGAACTCACACATGTCATACAACCCGCCTTGCCTACCCTACAAGGTTCCATCCAAAAAAAGTGCTGGAACTCCGTTCTGGGCGTTCTATGAGAAAAAAAGCCCTGTATATAACATTGTTAATTTGTTAGAAGTTTAATATCTATCTGATTTAAGTGAAGAACATACTTGCTTTAATTCTTCTCCATTGCTTAGGGTATTTGCCAGATTAACTGTTCTCCCTTATGATAATACTGAATGCAGAGTTGAGCTATCTATTTCCTAAAGCAGCAGGTCAAAAGCGTCCATTCCCGAAATAGAAAAATTATTGTTAATTAGATCTTCTGTGTTTGCATTATAATTTGAAATGGTGTTTTAAGTTCTTGCCTGTGTGTGTGTGTGTGTGTGTGTGTGTGTATTTGTGTATGTATGTATGTGTACAAGATTGCAAATATGTTGGAACAGAGCCTTTAAATATAAATCGCCTGGCATGTGGATTTGTTACTATCTTAATGTTGGGATTTGATTTTTGCTGTTGTTTTTATAAATCCTTTATTTCATGCTTTCACTGTTCAGATTCAACATGATCTTTAGTTAACTGGCTGCTTCTTCAAATATAATTATGAGGGAGCTAGGCGATTTCTAAATTTGATACATAAATAAAATAATTCAAATAATGAAATTGGTCTTGAGCTTAGCATAACTGCTTTAAAGAAGCTTTACTTTGCATAAGTATTTTTGTATTGCTGTCTTTTGCCCCTGGATTAAATAAGATCTCAAAGGTTGCTGTTATTTAAATCCACTTTTCTCTCTCTTCCAGTCGTACCTCTTTGGCAACTTTTCATGAAGGAAAACACAACATATGCCATATGTCCATGGATATTTCAAGGGGACTTATGGTGACATGTGGAAGTGATCGTGTAGTAAAGGTAAGCTATTCTTTTGTTAATTACATAAAATACATTTCATACTAGCTGTGCTTTATCGTCCTCCAGTTTTGTTTATCTGTTTTTTTTAAGAACAGCAAATGGAGGAAAGGAAAGAGGGAGAATAATCTTTATGTTTAGGTTAGAAGGTTACATATGTTCTCAAGGTGCAGCCTTGTTTATTTGGTCATTTCTAAATCCAACCATTTTCAGACTACACCTTTGTGAAAATAATTGTAAAATCTCATTTTAAAACATTTGTAAACATTAAGTATATATTTGTATACATTAATAATGCACTCATTGAGTGGCATAGTGGCCTAGAGGTGAAGATGCTCACCTCACACTCAGGAGGCTGGGAGTTCAATCCTAGGCAGCAACACATATTTTTCTATTAGGGCGCAAAAAGTAAATATCTTCTGTGAATTCCCACGTAGGCATCAGGAAGGGCGTCAAGCCAGTAAACGCTCACTCCATCAGTTGCCATACCATAGTACCATTAAATCAAGTTGTTCAAATAAACTCAATTTTCATTGAGAAAACTGAAATCAGGAAAATTAAAACCTAGCACAACTAAGTAAACTTTTACCAGTTTAACCGAATAACTATTCCATGAATCAGAAATTTCTAACTCAACTTTATTTGTAATTCCTTTCTGTTTTCTGAAAAATACCAGGTTTAATCTGAAACAAAAGATAATAGTTTTCCTTCTCACTACCCAGGACATATATTTATTTCTCCTGGATATTTTTTTCCCCCACTTTCAATAGAACACACACTTTTTTACATTTACGGGTTGAAGACAAGCTCATTCTTCATGAGTGGGAAAATGTCTGAGAAAAAATATTGATTACCTGTTTTGGAAATTTACCAGGGAGGGTTTGAAAGGGGACTTATACACAAAATCATAGTTGAGTTAAATCTTTATTAAAATAATAAAACAGAAGATGATGCCAGTTTTTTTGGTTCCTAGAACCATTATCAGATATTATTTTTAAAAACAAGGAAGAAGAGAATAAAACAAAAGCCTTAATTATTAGCTAAATGTAAAAGCCTATGAATTCTATTGCTCATATATATTCTTAAGAAAGTGTGGTAAAACATGTACTTTTATTTTATTTTATTTTTTATAGTTGGTGAATATGGCTTTCTTGTTTTTTATAATATGAATTGCCTGCCTGCATTTGGTAAATTATACTACATTTCTAATAATTAATTTTTACTTCACTAAGTTACAAGTGTTTAATCTTCAATAGTATTTTGAAGCTATAATATATGTATATATTTTTCAGAATTCCATTAATTACATTGAAGCTTGCTTTGGATAAGCATACATAAATCCAAACTATATTGTTCTCTTTATTTTTGCAAAGGTATTTTACCATTTACGTAAATAGCTGGTTTGCAGTAGTAGATCAATCAAAGAAAAAGGTGAAGGAATTCACCTTCCATTGAATGCCCTCTTCCTTCTTCCTTCTTTTTAGTTTTTTGTTGTAGTTCTTCCAGTAGTTTTAGTGTGCACATACTTTGCACATTTTTTCACAGAGTCTTTTAGACTCCAGCCAGAATCAAAATTACAGCTTTCATTGTTTCGTTCTTGCTTTTTATCCTTTCAGGCTTTGACATATTTGTATTGATAAGAAGGCTAAAACAAGCATTCTCCTATATCAGGAGGGAGATATTTTTGACAAGCTCCATATTATCTGTTAAAACCTCTTTCAAGTTTGTGTTCTTTTTCTGGCAACCCTCTAATGTAGAAGGAAAATAGCAGAGAGAAAGAAATAGGGGACAGAGCAGAAAGACAGAAATGATCGAAGTTTATGGCATCATTGAAACTTTCTAAATTTCTAATAATTAAAAGTCTTTCTGCCAAGCTTTTATAAATTTGGGAGACAGTAGAGAAAGATTCATTTAAACACATCTTGTTGGGAATTGGGGGATAGACTGCATTTATGTGGCAGCATAGTAAAGCTGATGAACATTAGTGATTATCCTGTCTGCTATCACCATCAATTTTATGGCATTGGGGAATGCCAGGATTATAGATGAGCGTTCCATATTCTTCTTATGGCTTCACTGTATCTTCTTTCCCAGTTAGGAATTTTATGAAAAACAGAGCTGTTTTAAGACATAGCATATACCTTTCATAGCTTATGAAATGCCACATTTTCTACACAACCTGGGGTTGGGATTTGACTATGTGTTTCACAGAGTCAATACAGATTGCCTTACAAATGAAGGCAAGTATATATGTCCCAGGATAATGTTGCAGGATCCAATCTCGGTAGGTCACTTGAACCAAAGGTTTAGTCTTCTAAGCTTTTGGACTTGTGCTGGAGCCCACACATTCTGGTGAGAGAGAGGTTCTCTGAGGATGGGGGCTCCAGCACAAGTTCAAAAGATCTGAAGACTAAACCTCTGGTCCCAGTGACTGACCCAGATTGGATCCTGCAATAGATTGCCTTTTTATTTATTAATCAGAATTTAGCTAAATACATTGCATATTGCTTATTTGCTGAGAAATTCTATTTCCTATTTTATTCTACTGTAATGGGCTATCTTTTGAGTCCTTTCTGGAAGTCTACACATGACAGAAGGTAAGATATAAATGTTTTGAAGTTTTCTTCAAATGGAGGATCCTTATTCCTCATTGACCTACATTTACATAGCATAGCTATCACCATGCAAATATATAATAAACATTTATAAATTTTAAAAATGCTTATTCAGAATGTAGATCATGTGTCGTTTTTTTTATATCTTATTTTTTAGATTTGGGACATGACACCAGTAGTGGGTTGTAGCCTTGCAACTGGATATACTTCCCGTTGATCCGGGCTTTCCAGAATAGTATACTGTATGCATCAAGTGGATATCTTCCCTTTCCTACTCCTGCCACACATGCCAGCTGCTTGACTTTGAGAATATCATTTTCCTAAGATAGACATTTTTGTTTAGGGCTTACAAAGAATGGTGGAAGGTACCGGGTACAAGTTGATGGCCTGTGGAATGAACAGTAGGAAGGTTTACATACAACAAAATATCCGGCATAGGAAGACCACTCATAGCTTGATTTTACTTGTAGCATTCAGTGTGCTTTCTCTGCTGAAATGATATTGTACTGTGGCTAAGGGTTAAAATGAGTACAGTATACTGTAGTGACAACAAAACATGTTCAAAATGTATTCTTTGTAAACTGTCCCGGTAGACTAGTTTTGTCTTATGAATAGTCACTGTGAATAATGGTGCACAGACTTTGAATATAACTTTGCCAGCAGGAGGGAAAACATTTCTTTCCCAGCAGCATTGCAATAGGGGTGGGGGCATTGATAGTGTGTTTTGGACTGTTTTGTTTCTCTGTTACATTTGATGTTGTTCCAGTTTTAAATTGTCTATTGCGAAAGGGGTGGATAGATCCTTGGCAAAACACTAAACATGGTTTCAATAATGGCTGAAGCTAAATGAGGGATTTGAATCATACTTTTTGTATGTAGTAAAAGGGTACAGTTGAGGTTTGGTGAAATAGACAGTAAAGGTATGTTGAACAAAAGGCTTATTTGTGGTGTACAAATAAGGTCCAAAATCTGATTTGGAACTGGCTTTAGAGAACCTTGATACCTATCAAGGTTCTCTAAAGCCAGTTCCAAATCAGATTTTTAGTTCAATTTCAGCAATAACTACAATTGCACCAGAAAAGCTTGCATGTGGACTGCTGCAAGTAAAAATGGTAGGAATAGGTAAATTTAATAAACAGATAGATACATAATTAAGTAAAATAACGGGGAAAATGTGTACATTAAAATTTGTCATTACTTTTGAAAAGTACTTTTGTTATAGTATAGAGTTTTAAAGAGAAATGGTAGGTTGCGATTCTTTTCATTTTGAAGGTTAAATTGTATTACTAAATGTACCTTTATAAAATCTGGTGTAGAATCATCAACATCAATGAAGTTAAATAATTGCTAATTAAAACCGATGGGAAACATTCATTTCAAAGTGTTGCACAAATAGACTGTTCAATCTGTCCTCCAATTAAAACTATTTTTTTGTATGCAAATAGTGTAATCAGCCACTTCTTTTAGGGGATATTTAAAAGTAAGTGAAGAAAAACTGCTTTTCCATCTTTCTCAAGGAAAGTTGTTTTAGGTTAATCATGAAGCTATATCATCACGTTAAAATGTAAGCCCCAAAGAATTCTTTAAAAAAAAAGTCTTCATTAGGGCAATACATATGAGCAAGGGAATTATATAACCTGAGGGATTATCCCATGGTAAATCAGTGTTAGTGTTGGTAAGTCATATAAGATGGGTATAATCAATGTTATTGTTATTGAGTTATTGCTCCTAAACCTCTTTGATAATAATTTTAATGGAGGGACAGAGATTAACATGAAAGGAAGAACCGAATATTTCAGCAATATCACTATACAAATAAGATAAATCATTAAATGATGGTTTTGTTAGAATTATTACATTATTCTACTTACCTGCCTTATTATACTGTATAAAAAGGAGAACTTTAACGTTTGAATTAAACCAGAATTAATTATTATTTCTCCTCAGTATCCCACCTACAGTGAAATGTAAATATGGGTTAAGAAAAGCATCACCTTACATAAAAGCATTTGTATTTTTCCTCTCTAACCCTCTTAATATGCTCTTAAACTTAGGATAACTTGCTGGTGCCAGAGAACAATATTCTCAGGTCTCAATATTTCTGCATATAGAGGAGACCGTCTACTATTTTCATCTATTAATTGTACAAATTGCACAAAAATACATTGAAATATTTGACAGTTCCACTCAAAATTATCCATCACTATTTTGCCAGATTTGTTCCAGGACTGACAAATATTTTACTAGTTGAGATAAGGTAGATAGAAAATATTAATATTAAAGTGGAGGTAGATAGAAAATATTAATATTAAAGTATTCAAATAGATACACAAAGAAATGTTGGGAAAACATTATATTATTTCTATATCCAATGTTGAAGTTCTTCTGATAAGACATAGAACTGTAAAAACTCTGTTACTTGCTTTGGATATAAATTGCTTTTGTGCGTGGGGAAGAGAATAAGGATTATGCTGTACATGGTAACAAAATTGGCCCTGTATTCTAAATGTGCAATCATTCAGATTTGACATATTTACTATGTTTTTTTTCCCCTGAAACCTTCATGGGGGAACCAGAAGGACTAATGTATTTTTGTCTGATGATCCTATTCTCGTGAAACATTGTATCTTTCATTATCTGAGAAACTGTTATTACTGTTTGTTGTTCTCTTTTGTCTTAAAAAAAATGAAAAAAAGCTTTGACTATTGTATAATAAAAATATTTCCTGTAAATTTTGGTTCTTTATTCATAACCTGTGGGACTTTTCACTGTACACTGTGTGCATCAAGTGTCCTAGAAAATGAGTAAGGAAAAAGTAACTAAAGAAATTCAGAAATTGTAAAAATTTCCTAATTTAAGGAACTTCTGTTACTCTGGAATTTGGATGAGACTTGCAAGTTGTATGGTTAAGCAATGGCAGGAAATCAAGTCCTTCAAACCATTGGCTGGCATCTGGGATACTTCCATGCTAGGCAATAGGAATAGCAAGCTTATCTATGCCAGATGTTCCATATAACAATAATAAAAAAGAAGCTGATGAGGAAGAAAAATCTATAGCGGACATAGTAAATTGCAGCCACAAAGGAAAACTTTGAAGACATGCAAATTGAAACCGGCCAGTCTAGAAGCACACAACCATTATAATAAAAATTAATTAGATTTATAAGATTGCCAATAAGAGACACAAGGCAGCTAGGGGATGTTCCCTCAAATAGGGGATTTGCAATACCTCTTCATTTGCAATACCTTTTCTTCTCTAATCACATGAAAATTATGATCACACAAGAACTTTGGAGGAGTTGTCAGAAGTCCACCCAAGGCTTTGTGAGGCCATATGCAGTCCTGTGCCTTGGATTGCATTTATCCTAATTTAAACTGACTCATTCTCATGGACAGCTGAATAAGAGTGGGAGGGAGTTTTTTGTATAAATTGAAAGAAGCTTTTTCATTTGTTCTGTAATTAAATGGGACTATTTTATTCCAGGCAAAAAGGATTTGAGGAGGAGCAAGGGAAAAATAGCAAGAATATAAGTGACTTGAGAGGAAGGCCACAGGAAGATCAGGGCAGCTGTTCAGAGGGTCTTTGAGAGTGGGCCTTTGAGAGTGGCCAAAGACACAGAGAAAAGAAGGCATTGGGAAGATAGGGGTGGATTTGTGGGAGTTGTCCTGCTGGGCCACGGACAGTAATGACAATTGAAAACAGGAAGGACATTAGGAAGATGGTGGGGGGAGAGTCATGAAATATGCTGCACTGGGAAATGTTAAGGAGACTCCAAACTACTCATGTCTAGATTTTTTTTTCTCTTCACTCCAAACCCTTTTCAGCAAACATTCCAGGTTTGAGTTCTGCCAAACTCTTAAAGCGGCCAAACAGACTAAAAACAACAGAATCTCCAATTTTGTTTCAGGTCAGAAGCGAAGTATTTTTCCCCCAATAGATGCAGTTCCCTAATAGATATTCCTTTAAGATTACTACATGGCATGTAAGAAGTGGTTGGAATTTATGGCCTGAATGCTCCCCCACCTTCATCTACTTGACTGTGAGTCTAAAGCTCCAATGCTGTTTTTATTTTTCAGAATGAATTTGGGCTCCAGAGTTATCCCAGGCATTCTTAAACAAAAATAAAACTGGTGGCTGGTTGAAATTCCATGCTTTGTCTGAAAATGGGTGCAACTAGCTGAAAAGTATGTGGAGTGGGGTGGGGAGATAAGCTAAGGTAGTTGTGAGCATTCTGTGAAATGGAGTAATCTGACAAGCTTGTTTGCTTTGTATTAAGTAGCAACTATTTTAATAACCTCTCAAAGTTTCAAGCATGCCCACCAGCCAAAAGGTTGCTTAGTAAGACAGTACAGTTTCAGCTATTTTTAAAAGGAAAGGAATGAAAAAGAACACTTTCAAGAAGGAAATCCAGTTCAACTAGAATATCTGGATTTGTGACCAGTTTGTGGCATGGCTTTAAAAGCATAACATTTAATTTAAAGCAAAACCTTTTACCTTAACAGGCTTGGCCACGTGGCATAAGCCCAAATAAAATATAGTTGCTATTTTGCACTTATCAGATGAATTGTGCTAAGACCACACAGAAATTGATGCTTATGTTATAGACTTAGAGAATCTTCTTGCATTTGCTAATATGTTTTTGAAATTCCATTAACTGGACACCCAATGTAACAGTAATAAATATAATATAGTTAATCACTTAGGATGATTATACTCACAAAATGAACAAAATATAAATATATTTCAGTTTCCATCACTTCAGCAGGTATAGGTAATAATCAAGGGACTATGGGAATTGTAATCCCAGGTTACTAGATTCCTTACTCCTACAATTTAATAGTTAAATTTCAGATTTAAAGCAATAATATTCAAGTGCCCATAATATATTATAGTTCTTTATTGGCAAAATCGGGACTTTTGAAATAGTGAATTGTTTGTAGGATTACATTTGGAAATTTCTCAGTTATGTGCATTTTTTTCCTATGAAGCTGGTTCCAGAAATATTGGTCTCCTCTAAAAAAAAAGTCCCCATCTTTGGAATTTGCCAACTTAACTTTTTTGACTATAACCTATGTTGCTGGATTGGGCCCCTGGCCCACCTAGACCAAGGTCTGCTGTCCTATGGCCAGCCAACTGCACAAGGAAGCTCGCTATAGTCTAGTTCAGTGGTTCTCAACCTTTTTAATGCCGCGACCCCCAACCGGTCATAAGTCGAGGACTAAACCGGTCGTAAGTCGAGGAGTAAACCGGTCGTAAGTCGAGGACTACCCAACCGGTCGTAAGTCGAGGACTTTCCCTGCCCGGGAGCGCCGCGCATGCGCAGTTCCGCCCCCTGCGCCGGCCGAGGCGTAGCTGGAAAGCGGCAGAGACGGAGCAGGCCGACCACCAGCTGGCCCAGCCCAAGGGAGGTAAGGCACCCGCCGGAAAAGGGGGAAAAAAATGGCGGACAGCCTTGCTTGGCGACCCCCGTGAAATGGTCGATCGACCCCAAATGGGGTCGCGACCCATAGGTTGAGAACCGCTGGTCTAGTTAGTAGATAGCCTTCAGAAGCATTCACAAACCCATAAAAACTAATAGCCTTTGATCCTCATTACTTCCAGGAATTCGTCCAGCTCTTTTACGAAGCTAGGACTAGGCTAGAACTACCAACGAGAAACTCAGGTAACAGTCTTAAAAGTTAAAGCAGATGTACATGGGTATCAGGAAAAGACACCCCCAGGATGCATACTTTAAAGCAGGGGTAGTCAACCTTGGCTCTTTTATGACTCGTGAACTTCAACTCCCAGAATTCCTGAGCCAGCTGTGCTGGCTCAGGAATTCTGGGAGTTGAAGTCCACGAGTCATAAAAGAGCCAAGGTTGACTACCCCTGCTTTAAATTACCTCTCAATGTCTGGAGCAGGTACCTGCACCTGCATTTCTCTCTCCCGCTTATCCTCGCCCTGGAGCTAAATCGATCCTGTAAGTTTCTCTGGTCGGAGGACCTCCTAACAGGTGTGTTCCGCCGCACAGCGCCCTGAGAGAAAAAGCGAAAACTTTCCCTGGGGGAAACTTGGCTTGCGAACCGTGGCAGGCAGGGCGCCGCTGGCGAAATTTCCCTTCGCCGACTCGGGAGAGCGCGGAGCGCCCTCTCTCGCGTGCCCCCAAAGGGCCCGTGTGGGGCGGTTGCCCGAGTTACACGGGAGGCCGGGCGGGGAGGAGGAGTCAAGAACTTTCAGTTTAGGGCATGATGGGAAAGCGGAGCGAGCTCTGGAAATTCACCTGTGGCGCCGGGGGGAGGGGGGAGACCCGCACCTGGCGGGAGGGGGGGGAGACGAACCTCCGGGGAAGCGGGTCTGCGGCAGCCATGGTGAGTGGTGGGAAGCGACTGGCGGGAGTGGGAGGAAAGGGAACCCGCTTCGGGGCTCTCCGGGCAGAGGAGGGATCTACCTGTGGAAGCCAGGTGAAGCAGCAACCTCCCGAACAGAGCGGCGGGGCGAGTAGGGCTCGAGGCTTCCCTTTAACGTCCCGCAAACTCAGCAAGTCCCGCGGGCTATTCGGTTCGAGGGGGCTCGCTGAGCTCCCGATCGGTCGCTTGGGAGGAACCAGACAAATTTTTGGGGGAACTTGATTCGACTGTTGGTTCCTCCGATTGCTTTTCATTGCCCTTCCTGTTCCTGCTTCTTTGTAGCGCGAGGGTTAATTCAATTCCTATTGCAGCCAAAATCAACAGAAGAGAAGGACGGGGCAAAAGTCGCTTATCTTTGAAAAGCCTCTTTATACCTGTTGCTTAGTCAATATCGGGAAGAGAGAGAGAAAAAAAAAGAATCGTATCCGACCTCGTGCAGTTTTAATTTCTGAAATTTTCCACTTTTCTTTTCATGGGGCTTAGCCCAGGAACGTTGCAAGGCATAATTGAACCCATGGCAGTATTTACTAAATACATTTTAAGCTAAAACATATTATATTAAATTAGCTGTGTGGGATGAGCTGCATCATGCATCACACAAAGCCAGAACTGGTTGGTGGGTTCGTTGGTTGGAGATTCTGGAAGTTATATAGCAGAGGAGAGGGACATCAAAAGTTTAGGTAAGTATGGGAAAGATCAATTCTACTTTGAGTCAGCAAGTGATGATCTGGTACTTAGCTAAGCCATTCATCACTTTCAACATTGGGGTGGGGATGGGGGATCGTGAATGTAAAAAATACCTGTTACAAGGTTGTGGCTGGATTAACACCTTACGGTAGGCTAAAAAAAATCATTGTCTGTGGTTCACTGTATTCTGTGAACCCAAGCAGCACACTATGTTTTTGATGTCATTCAAACTAAATTTATCTCCTTTGAGAAAGTTGTTAGTGTAATGCAGGGGTCTTCAAACTTGGCCCTTTTATGACTTGTGGATTTCAACTCCCAGAATTCCTCAGCCAGCATGCCTGGTTGAGGAATTTTGAGAGTTGAAATCCACAAGTCATAAAAGGGCCAAGTTTGAAGACCCCTGGTGTAATGGATGATTGGTATGCTCCAGACATAATATACCAAGACTTTCAAATAGTCTATTTCTCTTTTATAAAATGGTAAAATAAGAACTAGGTGACACTATTGTTAAAAAGATTTGCAGTTGGCTGAGAATGATCGTAATGGTTCCACTTAGTTATGGGGTTCCGTGGAGCTTTGTCTTGTGCCTTCTTACATTTTTATTAGTGACTTGGATGAGGAAGCTAAATCAATGCTTAGAGAACCTAAAAGGTAGGATGGTTAATACTTAATACTTAAGAGGAGGGAAGGAATTAAAAACAAAACACTTAGACAATCTTGAGTGTACTGAAATGAATATGATGGAACATTGGTTGAACAAACTTCTGCATCTGGATAGGCACAAGTATAAGATAGGGAGACTTCACAGCAATTCATGTGAAAGGAATCTGGTTCTTATTGATCACAAATTCAATATGTACCACTAGGGTGAAATACATGCTAAAAAGGTAAATGACACTTTAAGGTGAATTTGCAGGACCTAATGTCCACGTCATGGGAAGGAACTGTCCCAACTCTGCTCTTCCTTGATCAGATCCTACTTGGAATACTGTGTCTTGTTCTGGTTAAAAAACTAGTTTGGTCTAGTGATTAAGGCACCAGGCTAGAAAGCAAGAGACTGTGAGTTCAAGTCTTGCCTTAGCCAGCTGGATGATCTTGGGCCAGTTACTGTTTCTCAGCCCATCTCACCTCACAGGGATGTTGTTGTGGGGAAAACAGGAGGATTTGTTTTGGATATGTTCACTGCCTTGTGTTTGTAAAAATAATAAAGGTAGGATATAAATAAACATAAAAAGGGCAATTGTAAACTGGAGCAAATTTAAAAGAAGAGTATCACAATGGTGATTGATCTGAAAACCAAGCTATATAAAAATCAATTTATGGATATTTTAATATATAGAAAAAATACACAAGGAAAGATATGATAATAGTTTTCAACTATGTGAAGGGCTGTCACTTAGAAGACAGCATGGGATTTATTTTCTATTGACCCAGTGGGCAGAACCAGAATCAATGATATAAGGAGAATATTCAGGCTTCAGATGATTCCAAGAATAAACTCTTGGTCAAGGTTGTGCTTGTTTTTCTTCATTGGAAATCTTTGAACATAGATTGTATGGTCATCTATCATACAGGCTGTAATGGATTCTGCACTGAGTTGGGGGTTGAACTTGATGCTGTTACTCAAGTGTGAAGTGGAGAATGTCAATAAGGAGTGGTTTGAGATACTTACAATGGCATTATAATGTCAACAATGACTCTACCACCAGGGGAAAGAAGAGTTTTATTTCCAAGCAAGTGAGGCTTGTCTTGACATAGTACTCCTTGTTCATTCTAGGTGAAGTTCATTCACCTAGTTCAAGGGTAGGCAATCTTGGCTCTTTTATGACTCGTGAACTTCAACTCCCAGAATTCCTGAGCCAGCAGGGCTCAGCTTGGAAATCTCTGCCTTTCCCCTCAACATGGCTGGCTCAGGAATTTTGGGAGTTGAAATCCACAAGTCATAAAGGAGCCAAGGTTGCCTACCCTTGACCTAGTTCATTCACTCACCTTTGCTAGAGTTTTGTGCTATGGGATTACCGGTATATATTAAGATGTCCAGGAATTTGTACTTCCTTATCTGATTTTATGATGTTTATTTGGTAATGTTAAGCAAAGGTTTGTTTTGCTTCTCCAGAATGGGGACAGGAAAGTTGGTAAGACTAAGTATGGAAGCAGTCAAGGAGAGAGAAGGGGGAAAAAAAAAAGCAGGGATGTTGAGTAAATAATAAATAAGCTCAATTCTGGTCAGTGGTCTCAACTCTTAGTCCAACTCTTGGTTAAATTTAGTTCAACTCTTCAACTAAGTCCACTCAATTGGAGAGGATTTGCCTCAAGGACAGGAAATGATGGGTTTTGACCTTTGATTTGGATGTTTTAAATGTTTCAATTTACCCTTTTTAAATGGAGCTTGCTATATACAGTAGGGTTCACATACTTTGTGCAATTAAGAAGCCCAACTCTGTCTTTTTCTGAGATATTACAGTTGTTGTGAAAGGAAAAGACACAACGGCAGTCAGGTGTTCCATGTGCACTTCATTTCATATTTTGCTCTTCAAATTCCATTTTCTGCATAGCTGTAATAATTTTATTCTTTCTTCATTTTTTGGAGAGGAGGACAAAAAACTTATTTGAAATGTATATGCACACACATAAATGAATTGAACAAAACATTACTCAGATTTAAAGCTTGTGAAGAAATGAATGGCACTTACACATTGTTCAAAGGACATCTGTCAAAAGTGTTTCGGTTCTTTCTAAGGAACAGTTAAAAGCTGTGAAGGGGAGCCACCCATACTGAGTACAGTGAAAGGCGTGCCCAACCAGCTTACTGTTTTTTTTAGTGTGGCAATTAAATTTGAAGGGAAAAAAAAAGCAGTTCCACCTGAGCCAATTTTTCAATTCTAATTATATGTGTGAGAATGTGTTTTTAAGAAAGGGAACTGCTGACTTTAGGATTTACTTAGATTTGCTTATTAGTGTCACACATAGCATCTGGCATATAGGCAAATATTTTCATCTACTAAGTGTTTTTCCTTCTAAGCTAAAAACATAAGAGTTGTCTTGATGAATCAATTAAAATCCTGTAGATCAGCTTTTTGTCCTAATCAGGAACTGGCCAAGCTCTGCCTGAAAGTGTTTGCTTTCTCTCCCAATTGAAACCCATAGCAATTTTCCTCAACCTGATTCCCTTCTGATATGATGGATTACAACATGCTTTTGGGGATATTGGAAAGATTATGGGTTGTAACTTAACACTTCTGGAAAGGATAATTTATTTATCATTATTATTATTATTATTATTATTATTATTATTATTATTATTATTAATTTGAAGGCAAACCATTTTTGAATACAGAATTTCAGGGAAAAGCTGGAGAAAAAAATATTTTAATTCACCACAGGCGATTAGGCCTAGTTTTAGTCCTTTTGCATATCAGTCTGCCTTTTGATTATTAAAATAAATTCAAATTGACAAGATTTCAAAGTCCTTAACTCTAGGGAACATATAATCTCTGTAAAAGACTAAACAGAATAACCAGCATGCCATATTTGTGGGGAAGGAGATACAGCATAATGCTAGCTGAATAAAACAAAAAGGATTAATTCTCCTAGATGTAATAATCCAGCAAAAGAAATCCCTGTATTTGTGTCTTCAACTATTTGATCCCATTTATCATATGAAACAGCTGATTATCTGAAATCTCTCTGTTGTTGTGTCCATCAAGACTTTTCTATCCATCTATCAAAACATATATTTGCAGAAAGGCTATTTTTTTCCTTTCCTACCCATTAGTCTTATCAACAGTATATCCTTCCTCTTTTTTGATGTCATAATTGGTTTTGTTCCCAATCAAGTAGGCACTTTTATTGAAAAATTTTAATACTTAGTATTTTATTAGTAAACCCCGTGGTGGCGAACCTATGGCATGCGTGCCACAGGTGGCACACAGAGCCCTCTCTGTGGGCACGCACGCCGTCGCCCCAGTCCTAGGCTTTCAGCTGGGTTTTATAAAACCTTTTTGCTTTAGGCCTCCACCATTGTGTGCAAAAAAATAAAAAAGTTTCAATCAATTTCAACTTCTTGCGGGGAAAAAAAAGATCTCGCAAAGTTGGAATTGATTGATTGAACTTTTTAGTCCCACCCAGTCTGCCATTACCACCGCCACCACACCCTCCCAATGGGCTACGCCCATTCAATTGGCCACACCCACCCAATGGGCCACACCTACCCAATGGGTCACGCCCATCCGGCACCCGACGATACATAAGTGGTTTTGGGTTGCAGTTTGGGC